CGGGGCCCGGCCGGAAGTGCGGCGCTTTGTGCGGACGGCGGGGGCGGCGCCAAGGTCGGGCCCGAGGCTCGGGGTCGCTGGGTACCGACCTGCGGAGACCTGGTAGCGCCCGCGAGAGGGACTCGTTCTCTGCTTTGTGCAGCTGGGCTGGTGGCGGAGCGGGGCGCGCAGCAAGGTGGGTGGGGGCTGCGTCCAGGTGGCGGGTGAGAGGAGCAGGTTTTGTACCCGCGGGGTCTTTGGGCGTTTGAAAGTCCGCGTTAGATCAGGTCTGTACGGCGTTTGCAAAATGGGGAAGTGGCGAGGTGTTGTTTCTGTAACTTAGGTTTAGAATTGCGATTTCAGGCATTTCGAAGGCGTAGCTATTCACTTTGTCTATCCACAACATAAGCGTGATTTCATTTGCTTGGTGGGAGCCCTCCAGCTTGAGCAGGCACGATTTATATCAGGCTGCTTTTAATGTTTTCTCCAGAAAGGACGTTTCGGGTCCCAGTTGGGGTTAACTTCGAAAGAGCGGTGCATCCTTACAGCGTGTCCAAGAAACAGGGTATTTATCTCTTAGCGTGTGTAAGTGCATCTAGAAATTGTATCACTTAATGTTTCACTGAGGTCATACAACATATTTTGGAGTGTTTTGGCATTCAAAAAAATATTAAAAATGAAGGTTTATCTGGGTCCTACTACTTAAATATTCAGGACATCCTTCCTACAATTTGAGACTTTTTACTCTCAAATATGATAAACTTTGGATTAAAAGTTTTTGTTCGTGGGAGTAATAAGGCCACTTTTTAAAACGTATGTCAGTGAATTATTTTTGCTTTGACAGTCAACATGGTGCTGGATTACCATGGTGCAGGTTGTGAAGATTCTGCTTCCCTTAAGCTATGCAAGTCAGGTTTGCTTTGCTACTTGTGTCTTGAACATGTTTTGGCTTTTGTGAAGGAGTGGAAGCTAAAGCTGGTAAAAACCCCCAGGCTTTAAGAGTTGGAAGCAGCTCCTCCTTCTGGGTTGGGCTGGGTATTCATTGCAGCAGTCAGTAGACATGCCCAGCAAGCAGGTTGGGTTCTATCTCCTGCCCTTCGGGGAAAGTGTAAGGCAGTCTGTGTGTGTACAAGGCAGGCAAGTGGGGGAACCTCTGGAGGAAGCAGAAGCACCATCTGCTTGTTCTATTACTGCTCTTGCCCTCTTATCTGACTTGCCATATTTGTTAGGATTTGTACTTATATTTCTTTGCCAAACTGCCTTTCAACTAATTTCCATGTTAAGATCAGACAGAATTGTAATGTTTGAATTTTCAAACATCAGGAAAAGAGTAGTGTTATACGATAGATAGAGGATTAAAATAGTATTGAAAATAAAAATCTTTAGTGTATTTAGAAAATATTTAATTTTATCATGGGAAATTTTTGTCTAACAAATTTGTCTTACCTAACAATCCTGTCATATATAACAGCTGCTTGTCCAGGATCATTTGAGAATAATTTAATGACAATATTAGGTTAGGAGTAATAGTTACTTTCCTCTTTACTGTGTTAGTCTGTATACCTTTGAAGTGTCTTCAGTTCTGTGCAGAAATAAATGTATTCCCCTCCGCTCCCCCCTCTCCCATTGCAATTTAGTATTGAAGATGGACTTTGGGGTAGTTGAGAACGTGCTCACATTTTTTTTTTTTTTTGAGATAATAGACATTACCAAAAATTATTGATGGTGATTATGCTAAAAGGTATTGTCTTGTATATTGCTGTCTCTGAGAGAAATAGACTCTTAAGTCCCTTGAATTTACTTTTGTTGCTGTGAAATACTAACAGAGCCTTTAAAATTTTATAACTACTAGGCCTCTCTAGCGAGGAAGGGATTAAAGTCTCAGCACTATCAAGCCATTGTCAGCCACACGGGAGTTCTATCCCCCCCCATGAGTTCGATCCCCACCCAGGGAGCTGACCCACATATATGGTGCTGCAAATCTCTCCTATCTCACCCTCTGCTCCCCTCAGCGGTGTATTTAAGTGTATCCACCTGTTTTCCTCCCCACTGTCTGTGGTGGATCCTCTTTACCACCCCCCACCTCATGCCTGCACCCCAGTTTTTGTATGCATAAATAAATACATCTAAAACTTAAGAAAAGATCTGATAGTCACAAAAAACACAATTAAAATTTATTTATTTACATCATTTTGTGCCTTTTTCCATCTCAGTTGTAATCCCCATGGGCTTCCCACCACCAAATCACCTGTGTGCCATCACCATATTCCGGTGCACTTCCCCCCCACCCCACCATTTTTGATCCCATTCCCCACTCCACCCCCCATAAAATGCCTCTGGTATATAGTTGTTCATCATTATCGTTATTATTAATTTTTCCCTTGGGCCTTTATACTCCTGCTGTGAGTGAAACCATCAGGTATTTTTCCTTTTCCTTCTGGCTTATTTCACTAAGCATGATCCCTTCCAACTCCATCCATGTTGGGGCAAAAGGCATGTCTCTTTTTTTTTTTTGATTGCTTAGTAATATCCCATTGTGTGTATGTACCACATCTTTTTAATCCAGTCATCTACTTTTGGGCATTTGGGTTGA